ATGTTCCTCTAATTAGCTTAACAGGGCAAGTGTAGAATGGAATCAGGCTCACAGAGGTACAAGACCAGACGCAAAAGAATCAAGCCCCAGCAAGAGGCAAAGATTCAATACAATCACTCTGCTCTCCTTACTTATATCGGGCAACTTTGAGACAAAATAACCCTTTTTCGTAGCAACCACCTCTTCAGCTCCGTCGCCCAACAATGGAGCAATTTCCGGATCCTCGGCCGGTGAGTATTTTTCCTCAATCTCCACCGCTTGACTAAGTCCTACTGAAAGCAGAAATTTAATGAATCCAAAGAGCGCGTAGCTCCAAAATACAGCTCGATATGTAGAGATATCAGTCCAACCACACTCATTGCGCAAGTAATTAATGACCCAGCCAGAAATAACAAATCCAAACGCTTGGCCCGCTGTTCCTATCAACGAATACCACGCATATATATCGCTTCGATTTGATGCCGGGGTAAGTTGTGCAAGAGTGGATTCTTCGATTGCTCTGAAAGGACCTATTTCATTTCCACTTTGAACGTGATATCAGCACCTCTGAACGGCAACAAATTAGGCTGTATCATACCTGGGACTAATAACCCCCAAAATGGCAGCAGCCAGTAGACCCCAATAGTTCTCACAAATCGCAAAAACAATACCGCTCCCATCATTAAACCCTGAGCCCACCGCCAATATAGATTTTCTTCCTAGCGCATCTGCGAATATTGTAAGAACAAAGCTAATCAATGTATCTCCAACCAATGTTAAGGTCATGAAGACCCCTATCTTCGTCTTGGAGATTTGAAGTATAGACAGATATTCAACGAGAATGAGGGTAGCTGTGGCATATGCAAACATTCGAGTGAAGCGTTGAAGGCATAGAAGTTTTGTATCGAGGGGTGATTTGTAGAGAGTGATAAGGCCCACCTCGGCGATGAAATGATGGAAGTATCTCAAAACCATTGTGAATTACCTTACTTGTGCCAGTCGTGAACGAAGGTCTGGAGGTGACCTTGAGCTTTTCAGCTTGAGATTCCGGATCTTCGGACTGTGGAAGAGGCAATGTGAAACTTCGTATATCTAAATTCTGACTGCAGATCGAGGGATACAGGAAGAAGAAGCAACAAGAAATGACAATGGCAATAGAGAATAGAAATGAAGAGAGAATCTTTATGTCTCCAGTACTTAGCTTGAGATACAATAGAATTTCAAACGGAATCTAGTGTAGCTGCCTATTTATACCTATTATGAACGGGATGGGAAGAATTTTCTCTCTCCAATTCGAGACTGAAGCCTGGAGTTAAGAGAGTTGTTAGGGGTCCATCATTGATAGCGATGTCGACATCCTAGTACTATCGTCTGATAAGATTAAGATTGACAACAGCGAGACAACTACAATTCAATTCATCCTCGGCCGGTGAACAATTCTTTCCGGTCAATATACCCATTGAGAGATATGAAAACACCTCATCAATTGAGATTAACTCACAGCATTATGGAAAAAGGCAAGGCAGATTTTCTGATGAGCTACTTGTCGTGTGGGAAAAACAAATCGCGGTTTGTAAATCATGATGGTGAGAGCCTTGCCTCCAAATTTCCAACAAAAAGAATGGCGTAGCTTTGACATGGCCATTTTATTCTACAAGCGTAGATTCGAGGGAGTCCTTGGTCTTGGGCATGTTATCAATTACCTTCCAGTAAGGGGCGATTCTCTTTGTGAGACATAGTCCAATGCGGAAACTACATGCCGAAGATATCTTTGTTGTGAAAATTGATATCTTCATTTGATCTCATGTCAAAACCTACAACATTCTCAAGCTTAGTTATCATCATGGCACCCAAAAAGATACAAATGTTACTCTCGCCAGAGTCAGATTACCCCGGGCAGCAAAAGACAAACCGAAGACATCACCTGAACTTGTTCCAAAGACTACGCCCCAAACAATTAAGAAAGTTCCAGGCCGTTCAAAGAAATCCGTTCCTGAGACGATATCCACCTCAGAAACAAGTTCGGCTCGCAAAGTGAAAGGAAAAGGACGAGCAGTGACTACGGGAGAGCCCTCGATATCTACTCCAAATGATCAAATAATATGTCAAGAAGCATCCTATCCGAATCCATTCTCCACAGAAAGCTCTCGTAAGAACACCGCAGCTTTGCTCTCTCAATGGGATTCCACCAAGTCTCCAGCTTTTTGTTCACCAAATTCGGGAAATAGACTGGTCAATGGAACTCCAAAGTCTAAGTCGCCAAGATCTGCGAGATCCAAGCATGATAGATCATGCTCGATATTGGATAAAGGGCATATTGCAATTCCCCCACCATCTTCGAAAGACAGAGGAGAGCAAACCTCCCAGCTCTTCGATGCCAACAACAACAACGTTTGAATTCCTTGGCGGAGGGAAAGTTCCCCGATCCGACTTACCCACGGGCGAGTATATCCGATGGAACGGAACCTTCTCCGGGGTTCAATGCCGCTATGGGGTTCAGATACTCTCCAGGATTTGGGGGACCGCATGGCTTCAACACGAGTCCAAGAAACCAATCTGTTTTTAATCTGGCGCGAAATAGTTCTATAATACCAGGAACTGGAGTTCTATCATCTTCAGGGACTATCAAAGCAGCAGACCAAACCAACCACGGTGGTGTCGCTGATGCTGGCCGCAGTCTTCGTGCCGATGGAGAGGGACTTAATATTTCATCATCTAAGAAAGTATCTACAGTTCCAGCTGGAGGGTTCCAGCAATATTCCTCAGGGTTTGGCCCGCAATATCCTCAGGCTACCACACAGTATTCCGACTCTGCTTCAACAAACTGGCCCTATTCAATGGATTGGAATCAAAATAGGTTTTCAGGGCAGGTAAACACAGCACCCCAATCATTAGGGTCGTATGGACCGTCGTTCGGACCTGGACACACACGAGACTTCGACTCCGAAAAGCAAGACTGGTATGCTGATTTGATGGCGTCGCAGCAAAACTTTCCTTCAATACCAGACTACCTTTCAAACCCGATGATAGGTTACTATCCAATGCCAGATTTCGAACCTGCTGATGCAAATATTCCACACCAAACGGCTCCCGGGCTGGACCAGGCTGCTCAGGGTGCCACGGCGATTGATGATCCAGAACCCCAGGGTATCAGAGAAAGTAGAATGACACGGGAGAAAACCATGCTTGTGCCAGGTGGAAAGATAGTTAAAACAACGACAACAGTATTCACGCCCACTGACGAAGAGAGAAATAAAAAGGGGAACAATGTTGAACAGAATGTAGAAGACAAAGTCGGTATAGTCGTAGTAGACACAGAGGGCAATGTTGATGTCGAGTCTGGAGATTGGCTAGCGGGGTTCAACAGAATCGAAGGATGGGAGGTCGAAGCTTTACTCGGGCAAAGTAAAAGGTGGCGATCCTATAGGAATCGGAATGGAGTCACGAAGAAAGTCATTACGAAGAAAACTAATCACAAAAAGCCTACAACCTCGAAGAAAGCTGTTGCTTCGTTACAACAACCAGTCTTACCCCAGCTGCATCCAAATTTCCCCAAATTCACACAATTAGCATCTACCAAGTTTGGAACTCTCAATAACTCTATATCTAACCCCATATCACCCTCTATAGACTTCATCCCCTTTGATCACCAGCGCCTTACCAACACAAGGTCCACCCGATCACGAGCCACACGTATATCAAAGCCAAAGCCTCAACCTGTCAAAAAGGCAGCTGCAAAGAAAGCCACCCCAAAAGGTAAATCCAAAACACCAACACCAACACCTAAGCCCAAAGCCACCGCCAGCAGAGTTACCAAGCCAACCTTAACTCCAGCTCGTAGCCTTCGTTCAACTAAATCATCTTCCAAAGCAAAACCCTCTGAGGCTAAATCGGGTCCCAAGCCCATTCCCTCCAAATCCAAATCCTCACCAGTAAAAGAATCCACTAAAGCTAAAGCTGCAGGCAAACAAGCCGCCGCGAAGCAGAAAAAAATGCAAAAAATCATTGACCAGGGGAAGTCTCCCAAATCTGCAGGGGATTCCATCCGCAATGGCGTCAACTTCATGAATGGCTTCACGCGCAACACCACAGAGCTACAGAAGGAAGTCCAACGTGATCAAGCTCTTGCCAGCCAAGCCGCTGAAAATCTAGAGCGATTTCGTGGGAAAGGCGCTGAGCAAGCTTCCCAGCATTTTGAGAAGCTCATAGAGAATGTTGAGAAAGGGCGCAAGGAACTGGAAAGGCGTAATAAGAAGCCTAATTCATGAAGGAATCATTTGGAGATATGGAACATGAGAGATTATACAGGTAGCCATGTGGAACGATCTGTAGAAATCTTTGGCCGTTAGCTAATATGCACGATATTTTATGTTGTGGGCATTTTTTCTTTGTCTCTTTAGAAAAATTTGGCAATGGTTATCGTGCAAGTCCTTTCTTTGATAATAAAGGCTGTGTGTGTGTACAGTTATGTCATGTCAAGCTTTATTTCAACCTTCCTGTCTTTCCTGATCTAAGTACATTTCTCTTGAAGCCGAAAGATTTGCTTTGCTTTTGCACTCTATGTTTTCATGTCCACGTATATAAGATCGATGTTAATTACTTGAATTACTTGAATTAATTAAAGGATGCATTTATGTGTGTATTTATCATGCATCTAACCTCCAAATTTTTCTGCATCAGGGAAGTTGAGCACTCTTCTCCCAAATTCAAGTTTGCTCGACAGATGCTGATTATGTGTAGAGAGTTTAGACATTCCTCCGGCTTTTACAATAGAACAAATACATATTATTGAAGCCAAAATTGGCGTCAAGATTATTACCAGATACGATTGCGAAAACATTAAAAATGGTGAGATAGGATTGAGAGGGTTTTACTGAACCATATTGCACAAAGAGCGGAACTTTTAGATAGAAACGCAAAAAGAGCCTTCGAGACTATGGCTAAAGAAGTAAATCAACAAGCTATGTAAAATGGTGAAAGAAGACTAAACGCCTAGAACATAGAGCCAGAGAAGATCTCATCTAAAGGCTTTTCTCCAAAGTAACCAATTCTCGAAAGCCTTCTTTCCACTTCGTCATCTCATCACTAGTGGGATGTGGTAACGGTGCACGACCATATCCTCCATAGCCAAACCAACTCTCCATACCAGCCTTAGTGCTCACAATACCTCCCTGGATAGCGGCCCAATCACCTTGAGCAACGACTTCCTGAAGTTTTTGGGCTTCCTTGATTTTTCCTTCATGGTATAATTTAGTCATTTCGATGCAAGTTTTCGGAGCAATATTTGCCAATCCCGCGAGGATCCCATGACCGCCCCCAATCAGACTTTGTAGGGTAAAATCGGCACTACCTCCAAGGACCAAGAATGGCGGAGATGCGGGGGAGTGTGGCTTGGAAGTCCTTGTGGCTGCCACGATTCGATTCAATTTGCCAGTATTGCCACAGGTCAGCTTCACACCCACGATGTTGGGATGAGCTGATAATTTGATGATAACATCTGACGAGAGGTCCATGCCGGAGACAGCTCCCGGATAGTTGTAAATTAATAATGGAATAGGAGATTGGTCTGCTACAGTCGTGAAAAACTCGAGTACGGAAGCAGAGGAAGGCAAAAACAGAGGTGCATAATACGAAGGCGGTAGAATAAGTGCGTAATCTCCCCCAGCCGCGAAGGCTTCTCGGCAATATTGCACCGTTTCTCGGACAGATTGTGCGCCACAACCGACTATGATAGGAAGATGTAGAAACCCAGCCGAGGTGAGTGCGGCACGAGTTGTTGCCGTAACAGTCTGACGTTCTGCGTGGGTGAGATTGACAGCTTCACCGTTGGAGCCTTGAGTGGCTAGGCCATTGACTCCAGCTTTCGCGAGACGAATTGCATGACTAGAGATAGTTTTCGTATCGAGTTCTTCCGTGGTCGGGTCGAAGAAGCAAACTGTGGGAACGTAAACGCCAGGAACTAGAGGACGAGCCATGTGATCGTCGGCTTCTGTTGAGTCACTACTGTAAGACGAACTGTATGAGGATTCGTTCACAGAATATATGCTGTTATCTTTGCTCGGGTCTAGCAAGACAGAATTTATTGGAGGGTGGAAAGACATGTTAAAATCTGTTGAGAACTCTCTCACGGGTGAAGGGGCATCGTTACTGTGTGGCGCCATGATGAATATAAGATATCCAGTTATGTGTACCAAGATGTATGCTGGAGAGAAATAACAAGGCTTTGCTAGTTTGGAATGTGAGGCTTTAGCTGGATTCTATTTGAGAAGGTCAGTCTAAGACAACATTGACTTGAAGGAAAGCAAAGTTCTTGAAATGCTGTTATCAAGGACCTTTGTGCGGGTAACAGTTAGATATTAAATATTTTCTCCTCGGTATGCTCCTGGTGGCGTATATGAGCGACTCCTCTCGTCGCATAGTGTGGGGGGTCAATGGTTCTCTAGGAGTTGGACCTCGTGGCATGGCTTGTTTTCCCTGGTCATGTTAGTAAACGGCGAAGAAAAGTAAGACCAGATATAAATGCAAGATGGGAGATTGTGAAGCGTGGGCAGATACTAGCCTTGCATAATAGTAAAGAAAACATCATGAAATCCAAATGTTACTTTCCACATCGACGACAGCAGCAAGGAGTAGCAGGTGACGGCAACTAACGGCAACTAACCCCTCCATTTCCCGACCAATTACACATTCAGCTCAACAAATCTGGGATTCCCGATCTGGAAGTTAGTAATTGATTGACTGCGTCTCGATATTTGATATGCTGCACTCTCCGTTTTTGATCAATGATCATCAACGATGTTGTATTCTGAATTCAATAGAGACGGTAGAGAAGCCTATCCTGGTGCTTTCTGCTTGCCAAGAGATGAAATGTAAGGAAAAGGGAAAGTGCAATCTCTGAACCCCGTATTCCATTATAGGTCGGGCGCCGTTTGCTCCTTCCTAGACAACTTGACCTCACCGCATACATGATACCTCAAGCAAAGTCGCATGTTTGTCCAATAATCTGTTGCCAATTTCAATTTCAATTGCTTATTTGCATCATGACCTTAAGAAACTTCCATCTCTCCGAGTACGATAATGTAAGAGCTTTCTAACGGGGTTGGCTGGGGGGGCAATTCCTGGATCTTGATTGATGGTAAAAAACAAAAGTTGGGAGATGGAGGCTCAGACTCAGAGCAGTCTCACTCAGCACCAACCACACCATATTCTCCAGAGCTGAACTTTTGTACTTTGCCAAAAGCTCACTCATATTGGGCTGAAGAAACCATGCCCATCGACGAGTTTGTCTTTTCTTTCATGTGTATATGAACGTACATAGTCTGGCCTTTTCATCGAATTGTACTTGTCGCTGCAGAGTAAAATGTCTGCTGATACGGTATAATGACCTCAATCCCTGAAAATCGCGGGGTTCATCGACCCTGGTCTTGTAAGATGATTCCCCAGATGGCTTAGCTGATACAAGAATCCAAGATCACGGTGTTGGTAACATGTTCGGACAGCCGTTTCTTGTCGAGATTCAGTGAAAGAGCGTGGGGGTGGAGAATGAAAAGGAATGAATCAACCGCAGTTTGGCCAACGAGAATCTGGGGTTTTCTATGATATCTTGGCACACATGACATCGACTTCCAATTGCCGTATCGAACCACCAGAACCCCGAACCACCTTCTTCTAGGATCACGAGATATCAAAGTCGAAGAGATGTATCATATTCTTGAGAGGTGAAATTACATAATGAGTCTACGAGAACCGGCAACTAGGAACCCAGAGACGACATCCCCAACGTACAATCAGACCACGCTGCCGCCTCCAGGCTTCATTAGTGTCTGCGGTGATACATGATACATAATGCATTCATCATACCAACGATTGAATGGGACCACGATGCAAGATCTTACTTTCGCTTGATCATTCAGCGCGTTATGTTCTTACCAACATGTAAACCTCGGCATTGGAAATGGTCTCACCGACGAAGTTGAGTCGAATCAGACCACCGTTGTGAGGAATACGACGAGAGGTTTTGGAATAGGCAGCTCCCGTGGCATATTTTTAATGCGTTTCCCTTGGATTACCTCTACCTGCCGAATGTGATTCGCCAAGCAACTGGTACGATAAAAAGCCTCTTATCACTGGCTTTTGATATTCGAAGCAGCGCGGATTCAGAACTCTCAGAGCCGGCAATGCAACTATGACAATCCTTGCAGGTTTTCCTAATCTAGAAGCTCAAAATTGTCGTCTTCCATGATAATAATTGTACACCGGCATTATTCGTCTACCAGAATAGTACATGTCCAGCACCCCCTTGGCGCCCGTTTTCAGATGCGTCCGAACACAAAAGAGGTACCATGGCACGTGGACATTAACCTTCAAGTTAGCGCAGTGAACACAGCTTGTAATCAACAAGCTGCTCACACTACAAAGCGAGCAGACTATATGCGCCGTGTTTACAAGTGCATTCAAAAGTTGCCCTACTATCGCGTCTTCCCAATTACACCAGGAAGCGGGCCTAGCACTCTTAAAATTCGGCCATGGCTTCGTCTCATAGAAGGTCTCTGAATTCATGATTTTCCAAAAGCTTCAAGCTTGAGCTTTTGGCAACCAAAGAACGTCATTTTAGGCTGGTACAATTATTGGGACATATTCATGTCGCAATAGGTACCGATACGGGCCTTGCCCAAAGCTTGTCAATAAGGTCCCGTCTTCTTGCGGATACGGGAAGGTCACCTAGTACCCTCTAGGTACCCACCTAGTTCGCATAGAATGAAGTTATGTATGCGCCTAGTCTCACCAAGCATCTAAAACTAGATTCGTGGATCATTACCGGCTCGGTTTATCCGGTGTGACACGCGTACTGGTCGTACCTCTCGGGCTGGATTAATCAGCCATCTGCAACTCATCCCGTTTTTACTGGCGTGGGGAATCACTTCACATACACTACATCGACTTTTGGTGCCCTTGCTTGTAGTGGGGGTCATACGGGGGTGGAAAAGATGGCTGTTTCTTCTGAGTGGCGAAAATAATTTCCTGTCAACTCGAATATCTGAACTCTTTTATCTTTTGCCTACCTTGATACACATGCTACCTTGTACCAATTTACTTCACAGTTGTGTTGAAATGCAATTTTGTCTTACTGAGTAATCAGTCACCTTGATTATACAGTAGGTAGTTACTACTGCTTCATTGCATATTGGAAGTTCAATATAAGCTTTACCCTCGGCAGAGCGTTGAGCATTATCTCTTCTACACCTCATTTCACCAAGCTCCTAGCTACTCTACTATATAAGCCCTCTCAGAAACAATTTCTCCATCGAGAGCGCAAAGGCGGCAAACAGGCTTGTTTGTTCGGGTCAAATGCGCTCTTGTGGTGGAGTGGTAACACGCCTGGTTCGAATCGGAAAAAAACCCCATCGGGGGTTTCTCCTCCCGCCCCTCTCGTGGGGCGGTAAGGTTTTGCCATCCTGGACGTCACTGTTCAATTTCTTCCTTTCGCTTTTGAAAGGGTAGAGTTGGTGGGTAAGATTGGTGTCGTCGGCGAAGCGAGGCGACGTCAACATATATTGTGGGGCAACAAACTGGTGGAAAGAATAGGCGGTCTATTTGCCTACGCGGAGTTGGGATGGGAATACTGGAATAGCGGAGTGAAACAAACACATAATGAATATGATAGTGAATGTGGTGATAAAGACGAATGAAGTGCTGCACGTAATAATCAGGCACAGCTGATATATATACTCATCGGTAGTCCTACTTAAACACCAAAGCTGGAATGGTAACTTGGTCGACAGCATTAATTTAGAGACGGCGATAGCGGACTGCTTCCTTACTTACTTTACATTTTCATTGAAATTTTCTCAGATCGTTCGTTGGTGCTCCCCCATTCCTTCAAACCTTCTGAGCCTATATATACTCTCCCAAAATCCGTCCACTTTCCCCCTTTTTTTTCGAGTCTGCTTCATATTCCTCAGCATATCTTACAATACTACGATCGCAGACATCATGTTGGAGACGGGGAAATTAAAGCCCATCAATTTTCAGATATCAATCTGAATTTGAACACAGGAGGTCTTCCAGCACTACCATGTTCGTTCAAGTTTAGGTATTCACTGCTGCTATTTTCGCGTGGGATTCGGAGAGAAGGACTACAACGCATATGATAGTGGATAAATTTAAGAAAAAGCGCTTTAGTCAAGGTGAGGAGTAGGTCTACGATATGAATAGGTGCTAAATGAAGATGATGAGTGAAAGAAGATGATTTGACGTCGGGAATCAAGTTATGTGTAGGAACGAGTGCAGGTATTCCATGAAATATCATGTAGAGACTGTTGATATATGAAGTATATTAGGATGAATTAGGTAGATGTGGTATTGTATAATCTTACCAGGGAGCAATACGGACTGGAAAGGTTATCTCAATTTGATTTCAGGCGATGGAACGGGTTAGTCATATGGATGGACCTGATAATCAATAGATTCTATCATTAGAACTCTGAATTCATCGTCTCATCATTATTTAAGAGTACCTAGTGTATACACTAATCGAATGACCACAATCCTCAGTGGTCACTCTCAAGCATCCCAAGCCTCCACTTCCTTTTCCCAGTCATCTACTGCAGAATCCTGTTCTTCTTTCTTCTTTTTCGCCGCCATTCTAGTTCCCAAAACGGTGAAGCTGCTTTTTACACCTATCTCTGGCCTCACTGGAGCTTTGCTTCCGCTGGCTCCTTTGGCCACTTGACTCCACCCACCCCCTAAATGATCATCTTCTCTCCTGACGACATTCAAACTCGAATCCACACTACAGAGAACAACTGTCGACGCTAATTGAAGTGCTTTAACCTTTTGAACAAGACTATGCTGCATAGCAGTTAGTGCGGAGTCAACTTTCGTGTACCAAGTCTCGGGAGCTTTTCCACGAAGGACAACTTCACCAGAAGGTAGGAAAGATACGTCGAAATCGAGGCCCGCATTTGCGAATTCAGACGAAAGATCGGTGTGTATCTCATCAATAGTTAATCCAAACCGAGGATTCGATAATAAGAATGCATTGAACGGTTCGGCTGTAGCAACTAATCTCTTTGAAGATGCAGCTTCGACGACTGTCACTGGCTTGACTTTGACACATTGCGCTAGAGTTTTCAATGGCGCAGATACAAAGCGTGGCGTCTTAAAAATCGAAACGTGGCGATGGGGCTCTGGATCTTGACTTTCACTATCGAGGCCATAGTCTTCCGCCAATGAGTGCAGGAATGCTCTCTGATGAGATGGCATGGGCTTGAATCTTAATCTCTTCTCCGATGGATCCGCTGCGAAAACGCGAAATTCGCGCTCGTAGGTTTGACAAAATTTGAGCATGTCTTTGACCATATCCAATGTTTGTTGCGAATATGGAATATGATCATCTGTGTGAGTGCTTGGGTCAATATTCAAAGCTGCGGCAAGCTTTGCATTGCGTTGGAGCTTAAGACATTCGTCATTACAATCTAGTGTCTTTTTCGAATTGCCCTCGCTGGTTTTCGATGCGAGACATTTGACCGCTTGTTTCTGATGTTGACATTGGCAGGTGATGAAGGTTTTGCCTTGGCAAGGTAGTGTTTCCTTACAGGGGTAAGGAGCATGGCAAGCGTCGGTACAGGAGTGATCGCAAACGCTTTTCTGCCTTCCGCACGGTTGATGACATGGCGAAGTCGCGTCTTCGCATTGTCCGGGACGATGGCAGAGACTTTGACAAGAATGTATACCGCACTTTAACTTTTTCCCGCACGGCAAGCCACACCGGACTTCAGTGAACCAACACGGAATGTTTTTCAAAGTCCGTTTGCCACAAATACAAGGCTTCTCTACAAGGAAGGGACACTTTGGACAAGCTTCGCCATCGAGATGGCATTGATGCTTAGTTTGTGGATGACCACAAGTTCTTGCTCTTGTACAATCAAAACGGCACTCAGGTGGTTTCGTCCCGCAAGGCATTGGAGGCTGCAAAACGGTACGGCCACAAGCGCAGCTGATTTCTTCGAAGATAGCCTCACGGCATGATCTACAAGGGCCCTTGTGACAAAGTTCAGCGCAAGCATGTTCACCACATTTGAGTGTGCGTCCACAGACTTTGAGACAGATGTGCTCAGCCTCAATGTTCTCTTCTGTCGGCGGAGCATTCAAAGCACGATGCTTTCGTTTTGCGGCTTGTCGCTCACTTGCTTTCTTTTCGCCAGAACAACATCGCTCGCCGCACTCGTGTCTCCCACAGTTGAGTGTCGCTCGGCATACTCGAGGGCACTGTGGCTTCTCATCCACTCCTTGATGACACATAGTGTTTGATATTGTCCTACCGCAGCGACATGCAATTAACACCGACTGAAAGCAAGGTCGGCACTCGCCTTCATGACAAATACCTTGGCAGGTATGGGCGCACTTCAACGGCAATTCACACTTCTCTTGACAGTGAGGAATATTCTGGGTGCAATCGGTTCGTGGGGTTTCGAGGAGTGTAGAAATTGGCGTTTTCCAAGGACAAGTTGTGACAACGTCGGCGAAATGGACAATGTGCAGGTAATAGGTCTTGAGGGTGACACTTAGCCTCCACAGTAATGATCTGGTTTACCCACAATCAAAGGGTCTACGGCATTCAGAAGCCCACAAGTCAAAAGATCCAATCCATTGTCCTCATGGCCAACATTTCACCCATCCGAGCGTACTGGTTGGTGATTTGACTTTCACGCGTCTTCATCGCGTTCCGAGCAAGGTAGTAGTTTTTTCGACTTTTGCCCAACAATAGCATGTTGATTCTATAATGGAACCTCACAACTTGCCCACAAAGGCCCTCATGACAACTCCGCTCACAATTGTGTTCTCCGCAGGGAAGTACATCATCGCAGACTTGCCCACAAGCCCATCCGCTTTCGTACTTCGTATCTAAACATCTTCTTGAAACCGTCTCTTTGCCACAAAAGCAAGGAAGTGAAGGCCCCATGTGAGTGCAAAGTGGACACGGTCCAGCATGGCACATAAGATCACATGGATGAGGACAGTGTCCGATCCGCTTTTTTGAACAACTCTGCCCACAAGAATGTGGTGGTAGCCCAGCTACTGATCGTGGTTCAATCTCCTTCTCACACCAACAAGTATACGATATTGGCAAGTCTTCTTTGGGCAAGTTACAACCGGGACATCTCCATTGTCTCGGTGGTGGCAATTCTCCATTTTCAACTGCTCGTTGTTGATGTGTAGATACTTCGTTCTTCGACCATTTTTTGACACATGATAAATGGAGAACCGACCAACAACTTTTACAGTTCCATATCTTTGAATTTGGTAGAACTTCGTTGGTACAAATTGCGCATTCATATTGTCCATTTGTGATATCTTCGTGTGTTCGAGTGGCAAGATCTGCAGCTTGCGATTTCGACATTCGACGTGCGCGCGGAGCTCGAGAGGGTCCAGGTCGGGTGGCAATAGGATGTCCAGGTGTAAATGCTGGAGCATCTCCAGCAAGAGAACCAGCGTCAGATGTAGGACTAGTATGCGAGTTTGAGGTAAGTTGCCCTCCAAACACTCTTCCATTGGCCATGGGCTGTCCGCGACCACCCCCTCTTCGACCTCCTCGTCCAAATCCACCTCTCCTACCATTGCCGCCTCCTCGATTGTTTGCGTTCGAATTTCGCGGGTTCGACGGGGCTGGAGAATTCGAATCTGGCAGTGGTGCCACAGAGGCCGGTCTGAGAGCTAAAGGACCATTTGGTACTTGTGCCGTTGAATTTGGAGTAGCATTTGTGTTTGCATCTGCTGGTGCAGGTCCATTGTTCCGATGGCCACCCCGTCTTGTGCGACGAGTTCGTGTTCGAGGAGGACGATTGGAGCCAGGAGCTGGAGACGGTTCTGTAGTGGCCATGATACGTGAATATAACGAGCCTGTGATATAACCCGAAATTCTCGATAGTTTGTGTGTTTAAATGGATTTTTGACCAGTGGCGGGGTCGTTATTTTTTGTTTACTGCGATGCAATGCAGACAAATCTAAGAGAGCTTGCAAAATACGAAACTTTCGTAAATCAACGAGTAATTGCGCCTCAAAATATACGGCGACTTCAGACAAGAAAAGGAATGAAAAGATTAAATGGTAGAAAGTGGATGAAAATACTTTTTGTTTGCAAGATACGGAAGTAGCACTCTGGTATATAGAGGGGAATAAGGCTGATTTTATTGTGGCAATCCATGAGCTCTTTATCGACGCTAAACTTATCAACTAGCGCTCTTCTGGACTCTTCGGATAAATTTGTCAACTCCAAGACTCATATATGAGAGTTGACTCATACTCGCTCATTATCTGGAACATTGTAACATTTGCATTGCATCATTGTATGAGATGACTCTGAAGAATCAAATGTGGAAATGAATTGACTTATGAGCCGAGAAAGGGTATCGCATACTTCCAAGGTTATTATTGTCGCAATCTCTGATGCGAGCGAAATTATATCAAATCTTGGAATCCAACAGCCTCGTGCTAAGGTTACAAGGTTGGTCGAAGTCTCTGTTCTTAACCTGAGGTACCCAGGTATATGCCGACCACACTTCATTGTGGCATTTGTCGGTCATAAAAACATGTACTGCTGCTTCATAGGTTTCCTTGAGCTATATGGCTGAGTAACCTTTAGTCTCTCCACCGACAAACATCTCAGTGAGGACCTAGGAATTTATTCCTTCTCCAGTATTCGAAGGAGGAAGTTATCCACTATGGTGGTGCATAGATAAATACAACATAGACGCCCGAAGAGAAAAATCTCGATATAGCCTCAGTTGTGCAAAGGAATCGCACTCAGCGGTTATCCAACATGTACATATAAGTATGAAACCTACTCAGGTAGTTTCTTCTGTTGCTTTTCATTTCTTACCATATTTTCCCTTCGTAATTCGACACGACGATATATAACCAATAAGCTCAGTTGATTCTACCTTCAACATCTCACCCCTTTCGTTCTCGGCTGAGCTGTTTTCTCGCCACTTCCTTATCAATCACCAATATCCAAACGCAACTCCTCACTCACATTTAAGATTCCAACATTGAGTTGAAATCTTTCAACATGCCTCACTTTACAACTGACACAGATTACAACCTATCTAATCCTAAATCCTCCTCTTCTCTATCGTCATCTCAACCCCTTACAACCTTCTCACTCTTTCCTTTCCTCCCCCCAGAACTTCGTTTCCAAATATACACCCATTGTCTCCCCTCCCCTCGCATTCTCGAATTGGAATTTTCTCCCCCCTCTCAAACGTTCATTCCTATCTACTTTTCCTATTCTAGCATTCCCGTTCTTCTCCATCTCATCTCCGAATCACGTTCTTTCGCTCTCCACTACTACCAATACATCCCTTCTTTGAATCTCTGGTTTAGTCCCTTTAGGGATAGTTTATATTTTCGGATAGATGCTAGCCAAATTTACAGTCCTTACTATTCGGCCTGGGTTGAGAAACTAGGGAATTTGTTAAGGCTGGGGGAGGATTATGATGGATGTGGATACGGGCTGCAGCGACTAAGATATTTAATCATTGGAGACGAAGCTTATTCTCACCTGACCATCTCATCTACTGTTCTCGCTTCGCTTCGTGATTTGATGGAGATAGGGGTAGTTACGAAAGAAGAAAGACTACCTCTCTGGCCGGAAAATGAAGCCATTTTATTTTCAGATAGGAAGACGAGACCGAAGAGGGGAAGATACGATAAAATCGAGGGCCCATCCATCAATTATTCTCATGTCCGTCGGCGCTTCAAAGGTGTGCTATTGGGTAGTTCAGACGGATCGTTTGTAAGGGAGGAGAAAAGGGACCCTTTTGCGGTTGGCTGGTGAAAGATTTGATCTTGATGTGCAAACCCTTCGTCGGGGATTGGTTGTATTTCTTTTATCTAGTCATCTAAATTCTTTTAAAGTTTCACGCGATATGCATTATCCGCTGCGAATTTTGATTTAAGATTGTACTAGATTTCCAAGCTACAACTCCAGGCTCGATTCGATCCAAATGGGTATTTTCTCGTCCTCCAATCTCCCACCAATATCCGAAATCTCAATCTGTTATCATGATACATTCCTTTTTTCATCTCTCGTTTATTTTCATCCGGCTCTCGTGTTTGCAATATCAAGAATCAAGATATCTGTTGCTCCAACGGCCGTCAAATCATCCATGACCACAGCGATCTTCTTCTTTTCGACCATTGAACTAACAGCTACCCAGCCTTCCTCCTCCAAGGCGTTGATCGTGGGTGCTCGCTTTCCAGGGGTAATTTTGACTGCATCTGGGAGGGCGTTTCGTTGAACGTTGTACTGGCACAAGACGTATTTTTGCGCAGTGATGACACCTCGAATACGGGAAGCAATAAGATCTACCAATGCTGGATTCGAGGGTCTTTTGGATTTCACGAGAATTGCTGTACTCGAGACGACGGTATCAATAGCCTTTAATCCTGCTGCCTTCATGGTTTCACCAGATTCTAATAACATATTAACACGTAACTTCTTGAGTTTGATATGTCGTTCTTTCACTTACCAACAAGATCCACGATTCCATCAGCGACACCAAGAGCACATGCAGCCTCAACACTGCCGCTGAGCTCGATGATCTTGGTCTTCAACTTGCGCCCGGACACGGCACCACCGTCTGCCTCAGCTTCCAACGCTCGGAAGAATTCCTCAGATAGACTGACGAAACTGGTACCAATATTCTTTCCAATGAGATCTGATGGCTTCGCATATGGTCCCTTCTCTGGCACTTGTACTTGCAACTTACAAGCACCAAATCCCAAATCCATTATCTCTACACATCCTTCTTCCTTGCCCGCTTCGACAGGGGTTGATGTTCCTGATTCTGACTTAACTCTCCTCTCGGTTTCGACTCCTGTGGCATGTTCTGCAACTGTGTCCCGTCCAGTAATACCAATATCTACTCGACCTTCACCAACGAACGTAGGAATGTCGGCAGCGGGAAGGAAAACGAGCGCAATTGGTAAGTTTTTGACCAATGCGATGTCAAGTCTTGATTCTCTTCGAAACTGAATATCGGCGCCTTCGAGCAAATTGAGTGCTGCTTGTAATAGTCTTCCCTCTAACAATTCAATCAGCCATCAATCTCGAAAACAGGATTCGGCTTCAGTGGTGTCATGACTCACTTTTTGGTACTGCGAATAGCAATCTACCTTCTAAGCTTTTGTGATCGTTAGTGAAAGGCTCATACTCTTTAGAATCCTCGTCTGCAATGTATAACATCTTGAGAACTTTCATTGTAGCTTCTTTGAACGGTAGGAGTTGCCAGGTTCTATGTGCCCAAAAATGCGAATCCAACAGCTCCAAACCGTTTAAATAGGCTTCAATGGCAAGCCCAAGAGCCAACAAGGTAAAAGAGGAAAATTCTTACTGATTCACTAAATCCATTTTGTTGAGGGTGACGAGAGCAAGTTGTTTGTTTCTGTACAATGTGAAGATATAATCACTCCGATTGCGGGGTATTCACTTGAATCACAAGCAGAAGCAGAGAATGTTGTGTTCGTAAATGATAAGAAATGTATGGCTTGGGTAATTTGAAATATATTTGAAGCAAAGAGAATCACGACTATTGGATAATATGGGAAAGGGACAAGACTTCACTTTTAATATGACTCGGAGATGTTTGGCGCAAACTCCATTATTAAAAAAAAGTCACCTACTCTATCTAGTACTCAACTTCATCATTCTGCCCCACGTGTAACACCTGGTACTTTCGGTGGTCGGCGTCTTCTCAAAAGCCACTAGTCCCAATTCATGTTAGTGCAAAATGCTTCCATTTCAACGCTAAGAATATTAACGAGAATCTCTTGCCCTAAGATTCTGCGAACAGGCAAAAAATTATCACCAAATTCACGTCGACCAGTAAGCCCCGATTCAATTTATCAACCACAATCCCAAAATCCAAGCCGCATTAATCCTGTGAGTGACTCAGGAGCTCATCTACGGTTTCCAAGATTCTAACAAAACTCAGATCGCAAAAATGGAGGCAATCAAAGGTCCCGTCAAGCTCGTTAAGGTCACCCGTGTTTTGGGCAGAACCGGTATGGTCGAAATCTGGAGAATCTATATCTACGGATTTGAAAGGAGGTAATTCTGACAAAAATTAGGTTCCCGTGGAGGTGTTACTCAAGTCAGAGTTGAGTTCATGGACGATACCACCCGTTCCATCATCCGTAACGTCAAGGGCCCAGGTACGATTTCACGATTATTTTTATTCCCCCCCAGAATTACATTTCGGCAGCAGATATTCAAGAAGGAAATGTTGGGAAGCTAGGGAAGGTGTAGGCTAACACATAGAAACAGTCCGTGAAGACGACATCCTCTGCTTACTCGAATCTGAGCGTGAGGCTAGAAGATTGAGATAAATTGTTGGTCATAGTTGTCGAATGATGGGAGCATTGGGAATTTCTTCATGCATTCAGGTGCAGACTTTTGCTACGGCTATGGGCTGGATGTACGTTTGATGAATATGGATGGATCAGTTCAAGGAAATACTTTCACCACAAAATAACACGATCGATGAATTCCCGGTACCTTATTTCTACGACAATGTGCAAATCTTGAGACGTGAGAGAATTATTCTTGTGGCCTCGGGGTGATTTGGAGGGTTTGGATCACGGATTGCCGCAATTTCACACTGTTTTTCGAGGGACCGGAATACAATCATGAACGTGGAGAGTCTAGATTCATGGGGAAGATGCAAGTGCGAGTTTTTGCATTGCTATTCACTTCTTGTTCAGCGTGCACCCCGCATTGAAGTATGGAATCCGAATACTATGATTCCAAATTTAGGTCTGGGGAATTTAAGCAAGTCCCCTCCAATCCACTCATCTTCCATATTTACCCATTCACTTCACCCAGTGCACCTTGAAGTCTTCCTTTGACCCGATTCAATATTCCAGAAAGCGGTAACAGCTTTTTTTTCCCATACAAGAATACATATTATTTTCTCTGCCATTGCCAAATCCCATATCAAAATTCAATCTACCTATGAGCAATTCCACCTGAAAGTTCATGGCTATTTGCATATTCTGATTTCCGCGATCAAACTATCCGTGCGACCTTTTGTTTGAGGTGATTCTGATGTTTGAATCCATTTAATTGATTCAACCACTTGGACAATTCACTATTGATCAATCAACGAGGCCAAAGTCATAATATTCTACTTGACTCATAACACAACAACTTTCCATTCGTAGGTATCCACATATTCCTCAATTCAGCCACCGTGGTCCCCTCTTCAAAGGATATACAAACCAAGCAACAACCTCAACTCAACCTCATATCTAGATTCAAACGGAGACGAATTGCAACAAATCCACAACAAAGTCTTCCCACCCTTTCCCTCACGCTATTGCACTTTTCCAATCGTCTTCTCAAGAATTTGATGGATCTCAACAATCTCGACCAGACTCTCCACCTCTAACCCTATCATCTCCAAACACAAACCACGCAATGGAAAACCCAATACAACATTACTATTCCTCTCTTCTATACTCTCCTCAACTGGGTTCTTCGCCTCAATCAGTTGTGTACGCCCCGCTCCCATCACAACTACAAGTGCAATCACAGGAGACGCAGACACAAGCACAACAATATCTCGCTCCACCCACAACATCTTCCTACTCACGCCAAAAACAACAAGCACACGAATACCAGTTCACACACTCAACCGCACTCTCAACCAGAATTCCATCATCACCTTCTGTCACAATCCATCCCGTCCACTCTGCAAACCGAACATCAACAGATATTGAATGCACCACATGCTCCAGAATTGAATTACAATACCATTGCATCCTCCAATCAAAATTCAGTTTCGAACACATTTTCTGATTCCGCAACTCGTCTCTTTCCTTTTCTCTTCCCGGGATTACCCACACTCCACTCTTCCTCGCCATATACATCTACATCCACATCCGCTTCTTTTTCCACGCCCCCCTCCTCCTCTTCCGGCTCGCATTCCGATTCCGATTCGATCTAGAAACCGGCATCGAAGACAATATGATAAACGATTACCGAGGAACCACGCCCAAGAACTCGCAGTGCAGAGGGCGCATCACATGTGCGCTTGGTTTACGGGGGTTCTGCTTGGGATTTTGGGGTCGTGGGGGTCGTACGGTGGGTGGTTTATGGTTGAGAGAGGGGTGTAAGGGGGAGGGGAGGGGAGAGGGGGAAAAGTATATGGTATATGGTATATGGTATATGGTATATGGTATCTGGTATATGGTATATGGTATATGGTATACAATGAGAGATGGGAAAAGCTAGTAAGTAGAGCAGAGTAGAGTAGAGAAGAGCCTCTCTTTCTCTCTATCATAATATATCAGAGAAGGGATGATACGACCAAGGACGCGGAAAAGAAAACACAAAAATGGAGAACTCCATGCAAATACAATCAATCACAGTCTAGAAAGAGACGACGACGCATTGATTGGGAGGAAATATATTTTGTATGCATGTACAAAGAGGAAAGAGGAGAGAGCAAAGAAAGAAATCAAAATGTCTTTCTCCCTCTCACTCTCATAGACAATATCGAGATGTAGATGGATACATGAATACAAACAGGAATGGGAATCAGGTTCGGGGGTATTACAAAAAAAGGAAAGGAATGTCTATCATGGTGAATGCGAGAGAGCAAGTCAAAATTCGAGTTTCTGAAAAATAAAATGTCACTTGTTTATTTATGTTATTCAATGAAGATTACATAACATACAATCTTGATATACCGTACATATATATACACAAGACAACCATTTTCATGCTATGTCCGTCGTATTGAGTAATTAATTTCACAAGCGAGATATAGAATGCCCATTTCGAAACCATTTTCACAGAGAAGGAAAAGGTGTATTGTTTACGTTTGACTGATTGATTGATTAATTAATTGCTTGGTTGATTGAACCCACTAATATCCCCTCACATTACTACATCCGCCTTCCTACTCATCGCACATCAAGCCCGCATACCACAGCCATTAACGCGATATTCTGGATCCAACCAGCCAGGAATATGTACCTGGAAGCACATGCAAACAAACATCAATTCAATCCCATGCAGTCAGTCCTGTTTAGCCCAGTCCTTTCAAACCCATCCCATCCCATTCCACAAATCTCGTACACTTATTTATGCCCATGCATCCATTCCTATTCCGATCCAACCTAGAAGTCAAACCCGCACGCAATGCCCTCATATACATGATTAACAGCATAAGCATAAGCATAAATCCAGCAGCAGAAAACGTAAACACGACAGATGTATGAACAAGAAGAACAAGAACAAAGACAAGAGCGAGAAGAAGAATGAAAAACGCATGAGAAAAGTACAAGTGCAAGCACAGAACAAACAAGCAACAACAAAATCTGCAATCCCAAACATACATCTCAGAATAAAGAAGAAAATATGGTATCACAACGCTCCCCCTCTCCTTTCTGCTCGATCTCCGTCGTGCATCCCGCCCCATCTGTTGGCGCCCCATTTTTGGGTGATACATGTTCACATAAACAAGACGATCTCTCCTCTATCATTCTTCTTCATTCTCAAACTCCTCCAGAGCTCCTTCTCCTCATCTCCCTTTCCCAGCGCTAATCCCGCTGCCGTTCTCTCGCGATGATATCTCTTCAATGCTTTATTCATTGAAACACCCTTTTCGCTATTGGGACCCTTGTTCACCATGCTCATGAGAAGTTCTGCGCGGGGTTTATAGACGACCATCTGGTTTTCGCCAGGGGAAGAATCACCAGCGCCGTTCATTGGTTTGTATTCGAGCATCTTAGGTCTTTCGGAGGACTTAGTACGATGCTTGTGCTTACGTTTCTTGGGTCGATCTTCCGAGTGCTCGCGGGAAGGTTGGCGAGTGGTGATCAATGACATCAAATTGCTACCGAATGTGTCATTGCGAGTGCGAGCACGGCTGGCGCGTTTGGATTCCTTGGTCTTCTTGGGTCTTGCGCTAGGCGATTCCTTCTCAGCATCGGCACCAGAATAATCTGGCGATGGGGGGAAGACTGAAGGGCGAGTTTGAAGCTTGCCAATTTCCGCGGTCAATCCGGAGTGTAGAACTGGTGGCGCATCATTCATTTGGACATCGCCTTCGCGGGACGATGTATCAACATGTAAACGTTTGCGCTTCTTATCTTTCTTCTTCTCGTCTTTCTTATCCTTTTTCGATTTCCCCTCATGTTCCTTGGTTGGTTTCCACTCAATTGCTTTTGGTGCTGGTGTTTCGAAAGGTCCGTTGGTTGGTACTGGTCCAGATCCCCATTCGACGAGATTGGTAAGACTTGGACTGTCTGCTGCGTTTACTCGTACGAGATCCGTGGAAGGTTTCTCCTCTACTTCGGAACTATCTGCATTATCGCTCATGGGCTCGTCGCGAACTTGTTGCTCAGGCTCAGAATCGTTCATAACCTCATCAGCTGCGGGGAGATCTAATCGCGACGCATTGGGTGTTGGATCCACGAGAAAATCAAATACGTTGAAGGGTGCTGGCGTTGAAGGGGCAGCTTCTGGTACCGGGGCTGTAGCTTGTTGCGAATTGTCGTACTCATCTTGCGCATCTTCGACGTATGCGTTGTGGGCGGGTGCGGATTGAGAATTGTTATGCGAATTATTCTTTTGATTGTTTTGTTGCTTTCCTTTCTTCCCTTTACCCTCTCCTCTGTATAGCGCACCTTGGTATTTTTGCGCCTCGCTCATACAGCTCTGAATTGTGGTCAGCAAAGGATGCCCCACGTCTGAATCATGTTTGTTTACATACAGTATGCGAGCGATATTCTAGGCCCTGAAAATGTACCATGCAATCCAGGCAAGTATATGATGCCCCGCGACATTGATTTCGATGAGGGTCAAGTTTCTTCTTCGTAAGGACGTCACCGCAATTCTATAGATTGTTTCTTGTCAGACAAAAGCTTGTTTGAGTTGCCAAAGTAGATGTAGGTGCAGGTGTCGGTGTTTCAACAGGACATTGAAGTCGTAGGGATAATAAACATACCTCACAGCTGAATGATACCATGATGATATATGTAAGTTTCCTTTTCTTTCCCTGCAGGAGTCTCTTGGATTGTTTGAGATTTGTAGTATTTGTAGAAGAAATTTATGAGGTAGAAGATTGATAAGAGATTTTCTTTTTTTTCTTCCTTTTTTTTCCTTTTGGCGAAGAATAGATAAGTTTGCGAATTTGTTCTAGTATCGCGGGGGTGGGAAGAAAGTAGCTAGCTTTTGGAGAATTTGAGGAAAGGAACTTGAGATTGAGATGGTGGTAGGTATACCCCGTAGATAGGTATGTATGTCAAGTGTTTGATATGAAACTCGGGGGAGGGATGAAGAGTGTTTCTAAATCGAAGTATTTCCTCTTTGGTTCCAAATCCAAGCCTCTTTTGTGCTGTTGCTTCGATATTTGACTGGGGGGAGGGAAGGGTGGAGGGGTATTTTGGGATGGGATGGAATGGTTGGTGTGTAGGTAGGGAGTAAGTAGGAGGGAGGGTAGCTATCAGGTATAATAAGTCGTTTTGGAATAAATCAACAAAAAACAAAAAACAAAAAAACTTATAAATAAATAAATAAATTCAAACCCTTAAAATACTTTTCAGATCTTTTTCACACTTTTTCGACCTTGGATCTTGGACCTTGGACCTTGGGATATTTTTGTGGGATTCAAGGCTATGCAGGTGTACAGCTCTCGCGCGTTAGTATTTTTTTGGGTTGCATGAAAAAAAGGCGATGGATGTGTGAATGGAGTGAATTGAGTGAATTGAGGGACAAAAGAGGAAAAATGTTTGGTTGGAATTTGCTTACACTTTTTCTTCCTGCTTCCTTGACTGGTGGAGATGCCGCCCTTCCTATGCTTCCCCTTCCCCCCTTCCCCCTTCCCTTCCCTTCGCCTTGAGAGAAAGGGAAAGAGAGAGACTAGAATACGCCCGGAAGCATGTTCAGAACTACATTCGTACTACTTGTGTGTGTACATGTATGTATGTACCTTTGGCTTGCGACACTTGCGACACAGTGACACCAAAGTACAGACAGAGTACAACAAAAAGGTCCACGATGTCTACGCTTTGTATCATTCAGGGAGCAATGTTCATTTGGTATTCATTCCCGCCCCCAATGGCCACTGGCTTACCTATATGATATTGGCTTGTAATGGTAAACAACAAGTGGAATCAACAAAGAGGAATGTGCATTCATTCACAATTTCACATTCATCACACCCAGGGGACGGATGGATGTGCGATATGCAGCGTCGAAAATTCTCTAGCTTTGGGCGTCAATCTCAAGGGACGATACCATACTTAAGCCCTCATTCTTGCCTTACTACCTAGGTAGGGTGGTAGGGTAGGTACCTTCGTACGAGCAAGTACTGTCATTGGGTCGCCTTATGTATCGTTATGTGATATCCTCAATTCTTTGCGTTGAATTCATGATCATTGGGCATTGTCTCCAAATCCAAATCGACCTTACCTTACCTTGGACACATGGGAAGATGTTCTTCATTGGATCATTGGATGGTCCCCTTATTTCGCCACATATTGGGATCCCAATAGTTGAGATCTTGCTAGGGAGGAAACGTGAGATCGGGTATTCTAGGCCATTAGTTCGATTCGATTTTTCTACTTCCATATGTGTGAGTGCTTGTTGGCGAGGAAATGAAGGAGACCGAGTACGCTGCCTCGCTGTACAATCGCCAGAGGAAAAGGAGAAAGAAGGCGGAAGTATGGAGATATATCCTCGATGGAGGGAGGTTTTATGAGAGGAAGGAGTTTGGCTTGAAATTCAACCCGCGAATCGAATTCTACTTGCTATCTCAAGACGTGTGTATCATCTTGGATAAATTCCCCTCGAGACTCCCAAAACATGAATCACATCGATGACACCCTCCTCCGTAATTCGTACTCAACTCATCACCCTTGTTTTATCTCAAAGCGTGAGGCACTGAGGGTACATCCATCTTGAAAGATTGTGGCTCAGAATATGACTTAATTGACTTGATAGTTGTGTCACCATGATATCGTGTACTCCCATTGACGCATCTTCCACCCAGATACAATCTAATCACGACAACATTACAATATTGCAGGCGAAACTGTCATTTGTACGACAAACACAAACACATGTGAGATATATCTGTTTGACTCCTCAAGTTAGTCCGCCCCATGAGAGAAGAAATCGCCATGTCCGAAATTCCTTCATTGGTCGGTCGGTCTCCTCTCCGGTTTTCTCCCCCTTCATCTTGCCGTGTGTGTCCCTTTGGCATTGATGAAGTTGATTTGATGATTTGATATTTCTATAGCCACGATTCCCATTTCTTTGCTACAAGACGTTTGCCTTTGGCTCGATACATGACAAATGTATACTTTTCATGCTATGATTAGCTGACGTTTGCACTCGTGCTTACCCGACGATCGCATATATAAATTAGTCGCAGGATTGCGCAACTACATGAACCAAAATAGATCTCCGCAGGTTTGAAGGGTGCGTAGATGGATGTAGGTAGGTACTTGTGATACAGTTCTTGGAGGTCGTTGTCTAGTGAGCATAATGCGAGTAACTCTTTGTCTAGTTCTAGTCCGATGCAAGTAGCACTCAATGCAAGTCACCCTTGACATCTGAATATCTGGATCTCGACCGACCCCGAGGTTGTTGAGCATTTGATATGTTTTTTTTGTGGAGTTGATGGAGGGAGAAGTGGAAGGATTTGTTGGTTCTTGCTACGATACACTCCTGAAATTCTGAGACAACCATGGGATTCTGATATGCAAGAGTACACGATAACATTTTGGCGGTCAATCATCTCCAGCTATCTCTCCTTCAATGTAAAAAGAGTCCAACGGGTTCAACGGTTCATAGACATACCTACCTAGGTAGACATAGACATACTGACTACTTTGCGCATACACCATCACTTTTCGAGACAGCTCATCATACTACTTGCTATCTAGTTCTACCACGTTTACCATTTTACCACTTTACCACTTTACCACTTTACCACTTTTACCACTTCTACCAACTCTACTCTACCTAGTACCATTTGCACTTTTATTCATGAAACACATCCATCATCTATCCATCCATCCATCCATCCATCCATCCATCCATCCATCCATCCATCCATCCATCCATCCATCCATCCACACTCGAGCCCTCACTCACTCCAAAGTACTATCAAAACATCAAAACATCAAATTCCAAGGAGATCCAGATCCATCTACCAATTACACCAAGACTATACCATGTGTTACTACTGCTACTGACAATTCCAATTGCAATCTCATCTCAATTTAATTCATCATCACAACTCTTCTCATTTCCATTGGAGGAAGATATTGGTCCATTCTTGGTCCTTGAGAAAACGCATTCCCACCCTACCTACCTCCTCCCACTACTCTCCCCCTTATTAAAGTACATGAAGATGTCGACACAAGATTCATCTGGTGGAGGGTATATTGAACAGGTAACTACTGTTACCAGTTCTATCGCAGGTTACCTCAAATTTCCTGTCCTTGTGTCTTCGGTACATTTTCTTTCACACAATCCCAATCCTACATCGTTTTTGAAGGATATTTGGTGCTCTACTGGGCCACGCTTGTTTTTCATCCATTGTCCTCGTACTTACGAATAATTGCAGGGTATAACTTTTTTACTAAGTTCTCTTCTCTACTTCAAGCAAAAGTATATTTTCCCCTCCACTCTACAAAGCCCCCTCACCTTTTTTTTCTTTTTCTTCTTCTTCTTTCATCTTCACATCACACCACACACGCACCACACACCACATCGCGCACCCATTCACAACTTCCTGAAACCATGTTACCATTCAATAAAATACTGATCGATATGTTTCCTCAACCCTCAGGTCCTTGATTTACCCAAGTTCCATCCCAAATGCGGCCCGCACCGAAGTTCCACGACCCTCACAATTCGGCATCTCGGATTTCGAGGAGTTGGTGATCCCTACACCTGATGGGGAAAAGCTTTCAGCCTTCTACATTCGAGCACCGCTGACGAGGAAGAGAAAGAATGTCACAATCCTCATGTTTCACGGCAATGCCGGAAATATTGGTCATCGAATACCTATCGCGAGACGATTCATAAATATGGTAGGATGTAGTGTCTTGATGTTGGAATACCGGGGTTATGGTCTCTCGACTGGATCACCGGACGAGAAGGGTCTCATGATAGATGCTCAGACTGGTTTCGACTATCTACGCAAGAGAGCAGAGACGAGAGATAACGACATTGTCATATACGGTCAAAGTCTTGGGGGTGCGGTATCAATCCAACTAGTAGCAAAAAATCAACACGACGAAAGATTAGTGGGCCTAATTTTGGAAAACACTTTTCTATCCATGAGAAAGCTGATTCCATCGTACGATTACATCCACCACACAGCTCTATTCAAATACTAACACGCCGTAGTGTTATTCCACCAGCCAGATATCTCGCCTATCTGTGCCATCAAGTCTGGCCATCAGACACATATCTACCTACCATTACCGAAGTCCCAATTCTCTTCATGAGTGGTCTCCTGGATGAGATTGTACCGTACGTCTTCTTCCTCTCCTTTCTTCCTCCCACACGCCATCCTCTAGAATGATGACCCAATTTCCATCCACAAAACATGACCTCCCTTCTGGGACCAGATTACACAATACGAGAACTTTTTGTCTGACTACCTCAACCCAACCCATACCAATACCGCAAAACTACTCTATTCCATATCTTTCCACTAACTCCCCCGCCACAGGCCTAGCCACATGCGCCGTCTCTTCGAGATCTGCCAGTCCCCCACCAAAGTATGGAAGCCTCTCCCGAGCGGTGACCACAATTCGAGTGTGGTTGAGATTGGGTATTTCGAAGCCGTCGCCGATTTCGTCGGGAACCTAGACACAAAACATGGTTAATCCCATAACCCCATACCAGGGAGCACGATCCATCATTCGAATCTTTCTAGCATGCATTACGTTGCGTTATAACACAAAATTAATATAGCATTTGGCGAGGCGTTTGGTGCATTTCGGATACTCCTTTTGATCAAGCGAGACCTAGACCTTCACTTCATTTCCACTTGAGATGTCCGTATGAGCGATGGATGAATTTCTATAAAAAGTTTTTCTTCTTTAGAATGGAGAGATTTTAGAATGGAGAGATTCGGTACAAGAGTAGAGTGAACAAGATTTACATGTATTTTATTACGAGTTTCTATATCATGATAGGCACGGAGAGACGCAGTCAAGAACAAGGGGACGCGCTTCTGAGAAGCCGTTCTTGCATCATCCTACTAGTACATTCTTTCTACGTTTGGTGTTTAATTGCTCACACGACGAGACATGTCACGCAAATCACGCATTTAATCATAGCCTAATCAAAATTTGGTTTTAAAGGAATTCTCTTGGTTTCATTCCACACTACTTCTGATATCATTCCTCACATCCCATTCCTAGAATTTGACCAGTATGATTTCATTTCCCTCCTCTCCCCATTGATTCCCCCCCTTACTTCTCTCCTATCTTACGCAACGCAATGCATCGATTGCACATCCGCATCTCCACACTTTGTTAGATGAGAAGAAGAAGAAAAAAACCGAAAATTTCCTACACAGACAATTCAATAACTCCTTCACACATACATAATGATCCTCGGGTATCCATCCATCTTTCCATCCACCCCGTGTCTTTCATCTTCCTTTGCGCTTTGCCTTTCCTTTGAAAAATAGAAAAGAGATTCATCCTCTTTCCCATCTCTCCTCTGTCCCAAACCCCAAACCAAACAAATGACAAAAAAAAAGTTTCCTATCTGAGAATAAGAAGTCAAGTCCATTTCCTCCATTCTCTCCTCTCCTCTCCTCATCCACTTTTCTTTCCCCTTATCATCCAGCCCATGTTCTGTTGACCTCTTTCCTCTTCTTCTTTCTCACATGCTCTTGCTCCCCTGGTATATTCAACAACTGAAACTAAAACTAAGACTAACTCCAACAAACCAGAGTCATCATCACCTCATGCATACAATCATGAGTTCTGCGAAAATCCCATCCAGCTATATTAACAACCCAAACCTGCGGCCTAAACATTTGGAAATTTTCGGAAAAGTAATAAAAGGAAAATACGCTGCATGTGTGGTTCCATTCCATCCCTCATAACGAATCGCTCCATAATAGACACTCTAAAAACAATCTCATCGACTTTAGAGATCAAAAAAAGAAAAGAAAAAGAAAAGAAAAAGTCAAATGAATGAATAACTCAGGCTTATCTGAACGCCCATCCCTAAATCAAGAACGCCCCTCCTTTCCATCCAGACCCGAATTGTGTATGCCAGAAACTAGCTGTAGTCAGGCAAAACAAATAAAATGATCCAATAGGATCATGTCCTATCATGAAGCTTGAATTTAAGACACCGCCCTCTTTACGCCGATAGCCCTCGTAAATTGTTGCTTTTCTGTCGAAAATTATTTCGGAAAACGAGTACAGATAAGTGCTTCAACGCCAAATCAAGGATGCGTTGTTGCTAGAAGAACCAAAAAGAAAGGGAATAGTACACGTTGAAAGGGGCAGATGTTGGCTCATCAATCCATGGCGAGACGAGCAAAGTGCTTACTCCAGATCCAGCCAACTTGATCAGAGCCATCATCTTGATTTTTAGCCAACCAGAGCTCGCCCTTCTCACCAATGACATCAAAGATCTAAAAATAAGTCAGCTTATAACGAGAAATGCCAGATACAATTGTTAACTTACTTCACCGGGTGAGTAGGTTAGATAAGGGTAACCAGCTTCAGTCTTAGTTGCTGCAATATTAAATTCAAATAAGCTTGCTGCCAGGTAGATGACATTGTACCGACTTCCATGGGCACGATCCACTGAGGAGGCTCTCGAGGATCGAACGCTATCCTCAGGGTCATCGGGTAAAGGCATCGCCGAATGGAAAATGCCTGAGAACGGTCGTTGATCGCGAAGAGGACCATCTACCATGTATGATGCAGATGCTTGAGTGGAACTTGATTCCCTACGATGTCCCAGGTCTGTGCTAATCCTTGCTACGCCACCATTATCCGAAGTAATGCTACGTGATGTTGATGGTCTGGTAGAACCATAAAGACGAGGGGCATTCGCATCTGGCGTCGCAGGAGAGCCCGAGCCAGCACGAGAATGTCCTACAGAGTAAGCTGCTGGTTGATATGGAGCATGCGCCGGAAAGCCAGGGCCATTTGCCATAATTGGCGAGAATGAAAATTGTCCACTATGTCGCTTTGCAAAATCTGGAGTCGGTAGACATGGAGATGTATCATGTGGAGCTGCCAAGGACAGAAGTCGTGGACGAGCGGACGAATCAGATAGTCGACCTTTTGTTTTTATCGATTCGTTATCTTTGATGCTGGTAACGGGGGTCGAGTCTAGTTTGTCCAAAAAGCAATCCACCTCGAGTGCACCATTGATGAGGCGAAGCTCTTGGGTTTGTGCGAGCACATACTTGTAATCCCGCTCAAATGATTGTAATATGTCATTCTCGTTCATTGGTATTTGGTTAGCATCCAACACAGTCTTGACCTTCTCTTGCCAGATGTAGTACCAAGCTGTTTGACTGAAGATAAGTTTGGCGAGAATTGTTTGTCCTACCTGCGCCGTTAATACTGAGAGCCGGGGCATATCCGTCTTCAACGTTTCATTCAGAGCATCGTATTCTTTGGCTAGCAATTGAAGCTTTTCGTCAGGCTTCTTGCCATTGGCTTTGACAGCCATCAGCTTTTCATAATCTACGCGCCTTTTCGCACGTTTCTTCATGAATTCAGTAGGCCCAGAATATAACCGAATCACAGCTTCGATTGGCTCAATGACTTCCTTTCGGATTTGTCCCACCTGTTTTATATTAGCGTTGATAACTTCCTAGATCATAGAAAAATGCTTACATGGCTTTCCAAAGCAACACTCCCCATATCTCTCATGGAAAGGTTAAACTGAGTCCATCGAGCTTCCATTTCTGGGTGTGAAGAAGGGCTGTGTCGCATGATTATTTCCATGGCAGAAAGAAATCTAAGAAAATCGTTGACCCAAGTAGCGACCTGTCGAGTGTAGTATTCAACATCACGCATTACTACTTGCAGTCGTAGGTAATCATGACCAAACTTTTCATGCAACTTGACAAACACTTCATCGTCATGGGGCCGAACCACGTTAGAAGTCAGCTTCTCTGATCGTCGTCCAAATGCCTTGGCGATTCCAAGGCGGACTTCTGATTCCTTGCGTTTTCGACCGACAATCTTCCCGACGACTGAGATACGTTCCTTAAGCTTGTCAATAGTCTGCAATAAATTCAATGTTTCTCGAGCTGCAATCGAAAGAGCATTGAAATCTGGGTGATCTTCAGCTGTATGTCTCACGAGATTGTCGATTAATAGCTGGTATCGAGTGACCCGTTGGACTGGTTTGACCATCAGAGCGTCGAGATCCCAAGCAGCCGTTAAATCCTTTGCGACATTGTTGCATTCAATAAGCCATACATTAACCGTAGAGTCCGCTGACAATATCCTCAAGCGGTCTGCTGCCAATTCGCTGTTTTTCAAAAATTCTGTGTAGACCTCTTGCATTCTCCTGAGATGTTTGCCAAATGTATAACCAATATAGGTCTTTCTGTCCCTTTCTTCATTGAAATCATTGGATTCTGGAGGATCTGAGCTACTGTCGTTTGGACCCAGCGATGCAGGGGTATTTGCCGCAGTAGTCGTTGTGGATGTAGCTTTACTTTGTCTGGCGCGAGCCTTTGAAGTGTAGACAGCTGCCCCAGCTTTCTTCAGGTCATCCAGCAGAGTTGTTGAGAAAGCTATAATCTCATCTGTATTTCTGAATATGGTTTTGATATCGCCAAAGTCCAATTTTGGGCATGCTTCTGCTGTACCTTTGTAGATTTCCTCAACTACATTCATGTCTTTCAGATAAGCGGACTCTGTATCAATTATTTCCTCGATAATCTTTCTCCGAGTAAATAGGCGTGCGCTTTTTTTCTTGGCAATTGCTTGCTCTTCCTCTGTGAGAGGTAGCAGGGGAGCTTTAGGGGCGGGGTAGCCATTGCTTAAAGATACATCTTCCTGAGATATTTGCATGCTTGATCTAGGAGTGGAAATGGAAGGTGTAGAAAGTGAAGGCCGCGGCGAAACCAAGTCATCGCTTGGGCGTCTGGATTCAGTATGTTGGCTAGTAGTGTTTTGGCTGATTTGATCGGTTCCCGATTGTGGACGACTGTCTTGCATAGCAGGAGGAGGGGGTGTACGAGTAGGAGGACCTAATTTAGCAATTGCATCTTTCCGAGAAGTATGCTCTGAAATTAGTGGAGGAGTGAGGTTAGACCATACTGGGACAGTTGGAACGCTATAGATGGTGTCCGGGTCGAATCCAAGGCCGAATCCGTTGTGGGATGTCAATGGAGGTAGTTCGAGCCTGGAAGAATTCATGGAACTTGTGTCCTCGATCGGCCTAAGTGGCCCGGGAGAAGGAGGCAATTTGGGGGGCGGTGTAGGAGCTTTCTGTAGTTCAGGAAGCGAGATCTTCGTGTTTATCCACCTCTGATTCTCGTCTTGGGGGGCTGGATCATCTGCTGTGGCAACTGAGAAATCGGTCCAAGCAGAATGTCGGTTTTCACGGTGGTAGGCGTCAGATGTTAGATATAACTCACGATTCTGGTCATAAGATGGTCCGTACAAGTCTTCTTGTTCACTCGTATTCCCGGTGTTTCCCGCGCCAATATCATCAGAACTTTCATACTCGATATCTGTGGGAGTGTACAAATCCGGTTGTCTATCGTTCTCTAGTGGCGATAGGGACTCGGCAAGGGCGGTACGCAAACCTGGTAATTCTAGTCTGGGGCCTTCCACGGAAATTGTATCTGATTCTAGGTGTAACTGGGATCTGTCCGTGTCTTCTTCGATTCTGATGGGAATATCTACCAGCTGCTGAGAATTCTCATCGTATAAACCCAAACCGGTGGGCTGAACATCACCATGGTTGATACTCGCAAGAGCAGCTACTTCGAAATCCATGTGATGCATGGAGTCCGAATTGAAAATTTCTGATACCAAGGTCCTCGCGCTTGGGAGTTCTGTAACAGTGACTTTGGCTTGCTCATCATAGGTGATGGCATTTGATGGACTTTCAGAGGCTTCTGATGTCAAATCATGATCAATGGACTCTGGTAATGCTTCACTGAAATCCTCCTTCGGAGTATATCCTATTGAAGTGGCCTTGATAGAAATTCCTAAAGAGTCCGCTGTGATCTTTGCTCGATCCTCAGGAGTCACATCATCTACTTTAAGTACTTGAGCAGGCACTGCAACTGAATCCGCAAGCTTTATAGACGGGATACGAGCAAGACGGGCACCTTCTGTCTGCGCTTCATTTTCAATAAAAGTCGTGGCAGAGATATTTGAAATTGCGGACATTGGTACATCCTCTTCAATAAATGCTCCGGGCATGCCGTTAGTGACACCCAAAGTTGGCGAATCTTGATCCATTACAATCTGATGCTCAACAGGTGGCGGGAAATTTGTGGATCGAAGCTTGTCAAGATCTGTAATGATTCGGGCCCTAGTGATGGCATATCTGGTATCTGATCTCCATTCGTAGAGGTAGTCGCATGTTTAGACTTGGAGCTTTCGTCACCGTTTGTGGCTTGAGGACTATGTTCGTTGGCATGGTGTGCGTGAGATGCTCGAATCTTCTGCAGTTCAGATTCATGGATTGACTTAGTGTATGCACGTGTAATTTGTGCCCGCCGTGCTGCATAGTTAACTGGTTCTGTCGTTATTGTCTTACGTCCTTTCGTCTCAGAAGTTCCACCGGCTTTAGTCACTTTAATCCCAGCTCTTGTGTCATGTGGCGATGCCGATCCATCCACTGCCTTTTGTCTTGAACTAGCGGTTGTTGCTGCAGAAACAGGTTGCCGAGGACGTGAACTTCGTAGAGGCGGGGAGTTTTTTGCGGGCGGTGCGGAAATATAAGCTTTCAAGCTACCACTGCTAGAGACTTTGTCTGGGCTACGTGTCTTGGCACGGCTGTTAGGAGGTACAGAACGAGTTGCTGATGTCATCGAGCGTCCCGCAGGACTCCATGGTCGATGTTCTCGAGGAAGCTTTCCATGGAGCGGGCGTTTGCCAGTCAGAGGAGAACTAGCACGCGTTGATGGGGAACTTGATCTATCTGACTGAGTACTCGAGCGTTTGAGTGCAATAGGGAGTCGAGATGACAGCTTTGCTGACTGAAGATCGGATCCACCCTCAGCTTCTACATGAGAAGAATCCGGCGCAGTGTTTGGACCTGAATCCTTGGCATTGACTGGGGATTCTGGTAATAGAAAAGAAGAGCGGTTGACATTATGCATAGTATTTACCTTGGTGTCTGCAAAGTCACTATGGGCACGATTGTGACCTGATCTTCGCGGCTTATTTGGTTCTACGTCACCGAGCGACGGCGTTACTCCCAAATACCAGGCTGTTGGCGAAGTTGGAGAAATGTCGGCATCCGTGCGACTACGTTGCTCAGTAAAGATGGCCGAAGGTAGCCCTGATTCAGATGTCCTTCTTGTAGTCGTTGGAATACCGTAACCAGCTTCAAATGTACCTTGACCTAAATTTGAAATTTCTCCAAATAGAGGACGCTTCTCCGGCACCGCAGGTGGTGGTTGAGATTGAGATGATGGCGAAAGATTGTTCATTGACTTCGAAGTTGAACTGGCTTTGGTACTTGGTGTATTCCTCGTACGCATGCTGCGGGCGGAACCCAAGGAAGCATTACTTGAATGTTGGTCCTCCGTCGCAAATCTTGGTCGTTGCATTGCTCTTGTACTGGATGGAGGCGATTTAACTCTGGTTGATCCCGGCTCCCTCGTAGTATTACTTGTCCTTAATGACGCACTCGTAGTTATAGGTCCTGGGTTACTAGCCACGCGGGCAGTGTATGGATTCGATCGATCTCTCATATATCCGGAACTGATCCCAGCACTATCTTTTGTTCGTACCACTGGTTTCCGCGGCATGGGAAGGGACTGATCATTGTTCTGATCAAAGCGCTTCAAGAGATCCTTCACGCTTGGTTTTTGTGATGCTTTTCCATATCCATTGACTAGTGATTTGGCTGATTGCTTTTGATTGCTTTCAGCATACGATAGATTCGAGCCGAAGGGTGGTCGCGTTGTAGTTCTCGAAGTAGAAGGAGTTTGTTTTGGTGAACTGCTGGTATTACTTGATCGCATTGTGGAAGAAGCTGGCCTAACATCTGTTGTTGTTGTAGCCATATCTAACAACTGATCTGGCGGGCTGTTTGTCTGTTGGGGAGGTTGATAATCTCGGTAGAAGTCATCTGGTTCACCACCATCATCGGAAGTATTCATGTAACCATTCGTGTTGGTAGTTTGTAATTGTAGATTCGAGGTCGTAAGAAGAGGGAGTTTAGGAGGGTGAGGGGGGGCCGGATCGAAGTCAAATCTCTGGGAAAAGTGAGGAGATTCGCAAGTGGTAGGAGAAGGTATCTGCCGGTGTTGTGAAGTCAAATCCGACGAGTACTGGGATTGAGATTGGGATTGCGCTGGGGACTGAGCTTCTGACTGGGGAAAAGACCTAGAATAAAAATTCTGGTCATCTTGAAATCCATCCTCCATTGTGCCTCAACATCTGTTGAAGCTCGTGCTCTAATTGTGAGCGGTGGTAATGCTGTGATTGTTTATTGATGATCTATACAATTGTGGCAGAAGTTGAATGGCCCTTGGAATACTTGTAGCTGATTCGATGGATTTGATTTGAGCAACCAACCTTATCCTTGAGCTCTGGGCGCACGAGGGAGAAAATTGAATGTATGTGGCAGTAGGTTGGACGGAAGAATCATAGGACAAGAGTTGGTTATACTTTCAGTATAATGCGGGAGAGAAAGTTAGAGACGGTAAAAGGTAGCGTGGTTTTGTTATGCAATTGGATGCAATTGAATGGAGCGCGATCGATTATTATGGGTCAGAGGTTTACCGGTAGGTAGTTGGGGGTTAGAGAGCTTTAATGATTTTTCTCCACACAGTCTGGAAAATTGTTGCTTTTCGAGTTTTAAGAGGGTGAAAGAGTGAGCGGGTGTGTGAGAGAGAGTGAGAGAGTGAGAGGGAGAAGAATTAAGTGTGAGTGGTTGTGCAATAAAAGACGAAAGACGGAAAGGTTACTACTACCTAGTATGTATGATAACTTTGAAGTGATCTACTAGGTAGGTAGGTCGTAAGTATTTCTACCCGACAATATGAAAAGGTACAAAAGCACAATACTGGTAAAGTAATGTAATGTGGTGTGGTGTGGTGTGGTGTGGTTGTAGTGTGGTGTAGTGTACCTGGTGTGGTGTATTGTGTATATCTTCAGCAAATGACAGTGACAAGGTAATCAATCAATCGAAATCATCACACACATCAGCCATTGAGGCAATTTGGGTCAACTATGGCCATCTAATACCGGGTTCGGAAGAATTCACTTTATGGGACAGGTGGAAAAGCTCAAGGGTAATGAATTTCATTGAGTCAAGGAAAGTTTTTTGCACAGTCCCAACTCTCATGGTCATGGATGGATTTTGATCGATCACTCCTGGGTATCTAATGAGGTCCCCTTCTGCCGCTGCCGTTTGTTTCGTGTTTCCCTTCCAGAGTTTCCTGGCAATATATATACTGTCTGGTATTGGCTGCGATTGCTTGTGATACCGTCGACTTTTGGCCTATACTTGCATTTCAATTTGATGGTATGTACAACCATAATTTATAACGAATACTTGTGACAAATCAACAATGTGAGTGAAGGTTTTAGATTGAATGCTTTGCCATCTATTCTACTCGATTAGAGATTGGACACTAGGTGAAGAAGCAACTGGTCGGTCTCCTTCAGCCACTGTATCTATAATGAATAACCTTGGAATCCATAGCATTATCGCCTCAAACCTTGACACTGAAAGAAAAAAGCAAATGTCAATATTGATATTGACTACAAGTCTCTGACTCGGTGACGGGGAGTTCACAGGTCTATTGTGCTTCAAAGTTTGACAATCAGTCAAGCCGGACTCTAAAATAGTATCTAGCTGTCTGGGTAGGTGAACTAGGTAAACAAACACCACCTCAAGAAAGAATCGGATTGTCAGAACCCTGGAAGGTTTGCTTCATTTTGGATTTGACATTGCAAAGTCTTACTTCTAAGCCAGCAGTAGCCGAGGCTAAATCAGTATGTATCATCGATCCATCAATGAATGACTTCTCCAAGAATCACCGAGGGCCTACTTGCAGTAGAAAAGAAGCCAAGGTTGGTGTATGAACACCAATCAGGTACTTCATTTTCATCTTCCACTTGATGCCCTTTTCATGTTTCTTGTTTTGTTGTGTTATATGGCTCGAGGCTGTTCTCCTATCAATATCACCTCAAAGTCTTATCGGTTATCGATATCCTCAATTCTAGATTCAATATCAACATTCAACCAATAAATGGCTGAATAACTACCTAGTCTACGATAGTATACATTTGTTAAAAGGCCGTGCTTCCGGACTTTCTTTTCCTTTTCTCTGTTCCGACTTTGTCTGGCTCAATATAATTGAAACAACTCCTTACTTTTTCACAATCATCGATACCCCTTACTTCATATACCTATTTATAAATTGAAACTTCAATCATATGTTGTGTTCTCGTATTCGTTGTGAAAGGAAGGAAGCAAAGGAATAAATACTGTATTATTGACTTTCCAAAATTAAAGTCAATAATGCATTCTGATCTACAGCCTCGTAACTTTGACAAGGCTGCATAGAACAGGCTGCATAGAACAGGCTGCATAGAACTACCTAGCAGTCTTCCAAGGTTGCTGTATCGATCTTGCTTGAAGATCGACATCACGCCTATGGGTCATCATCTGGGTCATCATTGTCCATCACAGACAGCCCAACGCTAGACAATCAATCCATTTAGGAAATACTCCCTAGTGTGCTTTACCCGAGATTAGAATCAACAAAAGCAATTGCTTTAACATGACTAGAAAGAGAAAGAGAAGTCATGCTGTCACAGGAACTGATACTGATAATGGCACTGGCCTTACAGATCTCAACAAACGTCAAAAGGCCTCTGGAGACACCCACAGAAAGGATCCTCCGGTAAAGCAAACTTTGTTGGCCAAATACTATCCCAACGTCTTATGTCTTCGTGATTATTTACTATCAAAGCTCCCAGTATCCTCCAAGGTTAGGAGAAAGAAGTTGTTGTCAGTGGGCCACAAGCTTTCAACAAACATTGAAGATCAAAGAGATGATCATGAGGAGGAAGATGAAGATCATTTGTTAGGTGACTTTCTTGATGGCACGTTGATAGGTGTGTCATTGAATCATGAACTTTCTCAAGAAAATAGGTTGAAAGAGTGGGTTTCTTTCTCACAGAAAGGAGACGTTTCTGTATCAACTATTGCAAATTCAAGTGGTAATGATGTTTACTCTCAATCAGAGGTGGGTGTTTATCAATAATCCTTCTTCCGGAATGTTCTTGTCTCGGACTACTAACATCTCAACAGATTGTTGATTTTGTTATTTGGTTACTGTTTTCAAAGTCAAAATCATCAAATGGAAGACTGCAACACTTACTTTGTCAAGGATGTCGTAAAGATATCAGTTCTCATTCTGTCAATAGGGATGAAAACTTTAGAACTTCTATTCCAGGAGTCAATTCAATGTATCCCAATAGTCATGTGACAGCTATGAAAGCCTGGCCATGGCCTCATGTTCTTGCTCTGCTAGGGAAAGCTGGAGAACGTGTCATGTGTGATTTAATTCTTGATTGTGGTGTTTTTTGTTCAGATAGAGAATGCACGTGGTAGCTATTACCAACTCAGTGGTAGGTTTCAAACTGTGTCTGGTTTGTTAAATCTTGACTGACGACTACAAACAGGTCAGCCTTTAAGTGAACTCTCACCTATCACAACTGCAAAACCCCATGGAAAGTTATCTGAGACAGACAGCCCTTCAAGCAAAAGCCAGCAACCAGTTGTCTTACATAATCCGGCGGAGATCAATTTTGTAAGAAATCGGATGCTTCACGCAAAAGCTGCTTTGAATGCAAAGGGTGAGGTTCAATTTGGTTTTAGGCACATCCGTAGGTTACCCTTGGGCTAGTAGCTTGGATTCAAATTAATTGATTGTTCTGCGCAGACGTTTTGAACAGGTTTCCATGTCAAGCCAATAATGGAAGTGGCGCCATGCTTAGTCGTCGACGGCCCGAGCAAAATATTACCCAAATTCTAATGTACATATTCCCCAGGCAATTCGGCCTTCACAATGTCTTTACTTCAGAAGTTGACAATCGAGAAACTGTTCAGCCATTCAAAGATTACACTTTACGTGAAGAAGAAATTGATTCCATATATCCTGACGCAAAGGCCATCAAAATCCCCAAAAGACTTCGTGGAATAGCCAGGGATCTAGTTAAAAAATTCCAAATCCTGCACTCTAGGTGCTCATACAATAGCTTGTTAGAATATTATTGCCCGGTCAGTCTCCGAATCGAAATTCTGTGGCTTCTATTAACACTTGCAGAATCAGAAAAGTCAAGATGGCGGCGTAGAGGACACGAAAGAAAAGCGTTCTTCTAATTCGACGTCATTCGAAAGCCAATCTTCTGGGAAAAGCCGTGTCTCCAACACATTTTTATCGAGTGCCCCCTCAATTCCAGCCCGAAGATTAACTTTGATGGACCATGCAAGTTCTGGTGCTCATGTATCTGCTTTCTGTCGTGCCGTGCTTCGAAATATCGTACCGCGCGAATTCTGGGGCACAGGAGATGTGCAGGTACATAACGAGGGTATCTTCCAAAAGAATGTAGATAACTTTATTAGACTGAGAAGATTTGAGGCTTTGTCACTTCACGAAGTTACTCAGGGATTCAAGGTAAATTTTCTGTCATGATTGGATTTCATTTTGTTAATGTCCAATAGATTGCCGAGATTGAATGGTTGGGAGCAGCAAATACTTCAAACCAAAAATTGTCACTAACTGATTTCAATAAACGACGCGAAATATTCCTTGAATTTGTATACTATTTATTTGATTCAGTTCTTATCCCTTTGGTTCGTTCGAACTTTCATGTCACTGAGTCGAATACTCATCGTCAGCGACTCTTCTTCTTTCGACATGATGTCTGGAAAGCTGTGGCTGAGCCTGCTCTGGCTTCATTGAAGTCGAAAATGTTTGAGGAAGTAAAATTGGGAGAGGCTCAGCAGATACTTGGTTCGCGAGCCTTAGGCTTTAGTCAGATGCGACTGATACCTAAGGAGACTGGCGTGCGACCAATTATGAATCTAAGGAGAAGAGCAATGCGGAAAGGTGATAAGCGTCTGCTAGGTGCCAGTATTAACAGCGTGTTAGCACCTGTCCACAATGTACTCACCCACGAGAAGGTAAGTGTAATTTACAGTCGTTTTTTTCTCGTTACAAAACCTAACATCTGTAGGCAAGCAATATAGATCGCCTTGGATCAACTCTTTTCTCTGTCGGCGATTTATATCAAAAGGTCAAATCCTTCAAAGCATCTCTCAACTCATCAACAAAGCCTCTCTACTTTGCCAAAGTTGATGTCCAGGCTGCATTCGATACCATTCCTCAAGCTGCAGTCATCAAGC